ATTAGAGACGTAAATAAGCCGATAACCATTTAAAATATAACAAAAACAAAAAAAACAAAAAAAACATTCAAAAACGCACAACAGGAAGTCAAAAGTCAATGAATGCTCTATGTAAACTTGTCGTCACGTAGTCGACGTGCATACAATTCAGGTTCCGGACAGTGTTGAAGATTTGGCCGTTTTAGAGCTAACTTCAGCTATAATAATGCTTATTTAGCAGTTAGTTCTTTTAATGAAATCATTCTTTGAATGATGCGATGCATTTATCAACTAATGTCTCAATAAATTATGTCGTGACAGACAAATTTGTATACTTCTATAAAAGGTCTTCAGCCGTACTCCCATTCTAGGAGGAGGAGGAGAAGGAGCTTTGAGAGATTGGATAATACAATATATATATAATAAATATGTACATAAAATGCCCTGAACATGTCCAAGTAAATGGCTTTGGGTTCACGGCCAGTTTACAGATCGGTGCAATATACTACGAAGTATCACGAAATCAGCAAACGAATCATGCGACCTGGCTATGACCCCAATGATGTCTCTCGATTGGACGCGCAATTTTTAGGAGATAATGTTAACGTTTAGGCTAATGCAAACGATTTCATTTTTCGGTACGTTATCGCCAATGATTGTGAAGGACAGAAAAAAAAACGACATTAATGGAATAAAACAAGTCACGCGTTGTAAAACAAATCAATGTCGTTACAAATCGATGTGTGTATATAGATATATAATGTATGTAATATGTTGGGAAAGGTAGATCTATTGATGGGAACTCACCTGCAAGTGCGTGTCGCGATGGCCGGTTTTGCCATACGCCGAATTTCTGGTCAGATATCGTCGGATGTTTCGTAAAATGCCAGCCTCGCAATCCTGCTCATCGGGCGTTATGTCCTTTGGCTCAAAGTATACCAATTTTGTGAGTGTCCCGCCGATATCCATGCCAAACCATGGCATCGCTATAATAAATCAATGCCGAGTTCATATTTAAGACCACATCGTATTGACGAAATACCTATTGATACCGAATAGAACGGTATGCAGCATGTACATATACAGACCCTGTTCTGATGGCATAGTCGGAACAGGGCCGGGGACCTTTGATTGACTATCACATAGACCCGTGCAGATTTACGTGGCTGCATCGTAATTTACATTATGATTTGGCAGGTTTTGTGTCTAAATAAATTTAGATTGCAGCATTCCCGAAACAGATTCAAAATGTATGTGTCAAATTTCGAAAATAACATCACATTTCTAGCTGTAGTCGAACATCATTTATTTCTTTGCATCAAGTTAAACAAATTTTAGACACATAATCATCAGATTCAGGGACAATCAGTTATTAAAGATAGTACTATGTATTATAACACCAAATAAACACAAAGAATTCATTGGATCTGCGTCTTCTATGAAGTAATCTAATCTTATCAAACTGTTTAAACTAAATACAAATTTGGTTAATTACCCTTGCATGATAAATGCTTTTGATCATTTTTTAAATAAAATAACTCTATTTACACTTGAATTTTGTGATTTGCCACAATATTGGTAACATAATTTAACTTGTCCCGCATAGCACACAATTATCAAGATATCTTTGAAAAAATACAAGTTATTCATGTCGGACCTTGCTTTCTGACCGATTGTCCATATAAGAGCTATATATGTATATAGTCTCTTGCGGTTGACTTTGACACATGCACACTTGACATTGATTTAATTATAACTCTGTACACCAATAATTAATAATATTGAGTGCTTCTTGAGATTGTTCTAGTATCAGTAATACAGATTCCAATTTTCATAACATGTGCTTAAGATGTCTCTTTCTCTTTCTCTTTCTGTTTCTCACTTGCTCTCTTTCGCTTTCTGCATGGCTTCGTCGGTCGGGCACGTACCGCTTTTAATGATGAGATCAAAGATCGACGTAAAATCCAGAGTCTCTGTCATTGCTTGAGGGTAATTGCAATAGCGAATATTCACTGTTTCACGGTTGTAATGGGTATATCTAGCGCGTGCCCATAAAGAGCCAAAACATTTTGTTTAATTTCAACGGGTGAGCAGCAACACGTTATTAACTTCGAGGGGCAACTGCTAGATTATATATTATAAGTTGATGAATATTGGCAAATCGAACTGCAAAACATGTGCGGCCAGAAAGAGAGAGGGAGAGAGAGCGAGCGATATCGATGCCTGCTTATCTACCCTTTAGACTCTCTGGTTATCGACTGTTAAGAATTTCTAAAATGACCGCTGGCCTCTGGATTGGTTACACTAAGCGGCGGCAAGTCCCGAAATCAACCACATTGCTATCTAATCACAAATTAACTAACTTACATATATGTACATACATAGACATTTATGTGTATGTACATATCAAAATTAATAAACAAACCAAGCACAAAATTTGTAAAAATCCTATACGTTTTCACCGTTAAAACGCTATATCAGCTGGTTACTTAAAGAGAGCAGAGAGAAGCTTTCTTTTACCTGCTTTGCGTTCGTTAGGAATAAATGCATGAGAGAGCAACAGATAGAGAGAGAGTGAGACAACTCTGCTTTCATTTCTCTATTATCATCTTAACGAAAGCAAGGTTGCCATATTGAACAAATCGGTGGCACATAAACTAAACGTTTAGTTTATTGTCCTATTTTTTAAAGAACTCGGATTTCCTGATTTATAAAGCAAATGCGCCTTGTGCACTTATTAGTTGTTAGACAAACCAGAAATTCTAATTTTTGCTGTCTTGATTCAAAATTGATTTTTATTCTGCTTTGTTATCTGCTCACGTTCTTATCAACTTTGGGTACAGACACAAATTGAGCTTTGATATGGATCAGATGCTTGGTATTGTTTCGACTTTGGATGGCGGATTACTTACACATTAAATCATCAATGTTAGGGATGTGTTTGGCGGGATTCATTTTGGGCTGATTGCATGTTTCAATTAAACAATTATCGTTTGTCGACGATGATTTCAAATTGCCGCCATTTACGAAATTATTACTATTGTTGTTGTTATTATTGTTGTTGTTGCCGGAGTTGCTGCTGGATTTGCTTTTGTTACCGACTCCAATGGCGGCGCGCCACGAAGCGCGCCATGAATTTTTCTTAGTGGAGATCATTTGTGTTGGCGGATTGATCGTCGCAGCCAGCGAGGCGTGTGTGGTTGATTTTTTGTCGTTATGTAATTTGAATATTTTCAAGTTGAACGAATATTTCGAGTCGCGCGCGGGCACTTTCATTTTAAATGCGTCGCGTGTGCAATCAATACCTCGACGAGTCTTGCTTTTATTTCGCGCTGAGCATAGTAGTTATTCTCGCCAGCAGCGGTCAAGCATTAACTGCTTATTTGTATTTACATTGCTGCCAGCCAGCCAGCACGGTAAATGATCTCAAAAACGATCAGCTTTGATTTCGCTGTGTTTTGTTTTGAGTAGACAGCGCGCGTCGGTTCGGGCATCCGTCGGGCGCAATCCGTTTAACTGACCGCTCGCAGGCGTGAAACGTGTTTGAATGAAATTTCATTGTCACTTCGTTAAAAACGATGCGGCAACGCCGACAGCGGCAGCAGTAGCCGCCACAACAGCAACAGCCGAGCTGGCGTCTACGTCAGAAGCGCGCTTGCACAAAATTCAAAACACATACATATGCATGCACACACGTATACATATGTATGTATGTATGAATATTAATAGGAGACATCGTCAAGCAAAGCCGAACTTAAGCATTGCGAAAGCAAATTTCAAAAATAAAACAAAATCAACGATCAAAGTTGAACTTTACTACGAGCACAACCTAACAATACCCTTGACATGAGCTAGAGCTGAATGCAAGACGGTCAATGGTCAAGTAAGATCAGTTTTGTATGCTATTTATTAACAGCATTAAGTGCTTGCAGCTCTGATTGTTATGCAAATGATTATTTCAAATCCAAACTTTATTTTGCAAGCATTTTGTATAAATTACTGTAAAAGCAATTTTTGACTCTTGCTACGAAAGTACTTAGTACATGTACATATATGTATGCTGCTGCGTGAGCAAGAGAATGAGCGCAACAAAAGAAAGACCAATAAATAAAAAGAGGGGCGCCCTAATCAGAAACGTCAAAGTAAGGCTTATATGCATACGTATGTATGTATGCATGTACACTCTGTGCATAGGTACATATTTTACTTTAAAAGAGGACACAAAAAAAGTCAAATGTTTTGATAAACTTCAAAACTTTTGTGTTTCGGTGTACAATAAGATATATGTACATGCTTCAAGCTGTGTAGCAGGTTTTTCTATTTATCTACATGAGATTTATTTAATTTACACTTACCTCTCCCCAGCTGGTGGCAGAAAACAATTTCATCATCCTGCATGTTTAAGATAAGACACAATACGTCGCAGTCAATAATCAAACACCGGCAATGGCGCGTTCTTCGTTTGTCCCAACAAGTTCAGCTACTGAAAACGTGATTCAGCCGCCACCTGCAGCAGTTGTTGATGGTTAGATAGGAATGGAAAATGGATTTTGGAAGAACTTCGATGGCAACGGAACAGCTTCTGCTCACATTGGCGGTGTCTGTCCAAGATGGTTTCTTGTCGTGGAAGTGTGTCGGCTGGGCAGGTTACGCTTCTCAAGTTGGCATTGGCATTGGAAACCGAATCACAAAAATATGTTTTCGTTTTGTTTACAATCTGTTTTGCCGCCTGAAAGCTGAGCGCTCCCAACTGTTAATGGCAAATCAAGATCTGAATTCGAATATCGTTTGATTCTGATAACTGTAGTACGCACTTTGTAATTAAAACTTTACAACAATTACTATACAAATCTAAATCTAGTGGCCTTGCACGTTATCTTCTTCTTTGCATTAATTCAGAACAGCTGTTTGCTTTGTTTTCTGGTCCAGATTAGAGATGGGTTTCTGACTAAACATCGATAAGTTATATGCGCATTTGCTATCGATGAATATATATTAAGCGCTTCTGTCGATTACTATTAGTTTGAGCATTTTTGCGAAATAACTACGCAAAACTATAAACAAAACAAAAACAACATGAAGGAAACAAAACAGCCACAAATAAAGTAACAAGGAGTTATTACAATTGTGTATTTGTGCTGTCTATTTTTATACAAACAAAATTTAAGCGTGTGCTTGTTTATAACTTGCGTATTCTTTTATGATTTTGATAATTTGGAAACAATGAGTTTAAAAAATGATGTAATGGACACAAATAACGAGGCATTTAAGCTTCCGCCAGTTTGGCGGGATAAAGACAAAATCAGGTTGCTCTTTGCGAACTTTCATACGCGTCATTGGGATATTGAAGCATATGACAGAAAGATGATATTCTGGATGGATCTTATAAATCAGTACTGTACATATTTAGGCAAGGCCAATTTCAGTTTGCGAGAACTGCAGTTGCAGTTCATGCGCGGAGAACAAATACCTGCCTGCTTGGACGTTGTTATAGCCGAAATGGCTCAACGAAAACAGATTCGTCTGCGTACTGAATATGAATACGATCCGCTCAACACCTGGAGCGGCTGGCTCCTCAACAGTTTTGTAAAGCGCCCTCTATCGCGTGGCTGGCTAAAACTGAAGCATGTCATAATTGCCAAGGATGCCCTGGCAGAATCTTTTGTAGAATGGATTCACTTAGATGTTTTACGCGTAAGCTTTGATTTTAATTGCTTGTAAGCTATATTAACTATACTAATTTTTCAGACCCTCTGCAGCGAAATGGAAACCAAAGTATTGGACAAGAATCGTGGAAAATTGCTGCACCTTGAAGCCTTAATGACGCTTTGCAAATCGTGTCAAATGCGCATTCACGAGGATTTTTTGGATTTATGTCTTCTTACACTTCAGGCGCGCCGGCAAGTGGCATTAGAATTTAAAATTGAAAAGAAAACGCAACGCGTTCACCTAATTAAGATCCCAGGCAAGTACATACTAAAAGCAACTTCACAAAACGTCATAAAAACTTTTTGTTTCATTACAGCTGACGAGAATGAAAGTCTGATTATAAGCGAGGCAGATCTTGCCGTGCATAACCTAGAGATGACGCAGGCCAGCCTAATGAAACAGTTGGAGTCGCTCGAAGACGAGATTAAAGTTAACGACGATAAAGCGCGTCAATATGTCAAGGAAAACAAAAGGCAATTAGCCAAAACTTACCTGCGCAAAAGGCGTTTGTTGGAAAAAAATCATGGTACATCAAACAGGCCATATGCATTTAAATATTTTACAAATGTTTTTCCAAAATTCCACAGAGCGACGCAGTCTGGCGCTGCACAACATAGAAACGCTGCTCTCAAATGTGGAGGAGGCACAAAACAACGGCGTGGTGCTTGACGCTTACAAAATTGGAACCAAAACCTTGCAGAAGGTTCTTAACGACTCGGGTCTCAAGTATGATAACGTCGATGAGGTTCTGGCCGATGTGCGGGAGACTCTGGATCAACATCGTGAGATTCAAGATGTTATGTCAAGTAACACGTCAGAAGTCGTCAGTAGCCACGATGAGGAAGAGTTGGAATTAGAGCTATGCAATCTGATGGGCGGCAAGGAAACAGCAAAACCAATAAATGTCTGTAACAATAATAATAAGCCTGAGATTGTAATTGACGATGAGCAGTTACTTGCCATGTTGGATGAACTGGAGGTTGAGGATGGCACCATCTCTCAGGCTAGCCAAAAAACATTAGAATCTTTGTAAAAACTATTAAACTAACATATGTATATTTTTGTGTTTGCTTAATAAATGTAACTTGTTCTAGTTTTCTAAATGTTTTATATTCATAATGGCTTTACTCTATATCATTTTGTACAAAATGCGTCCTTAGGTCATATTATGTTGCTTAAAAGCTATGGCTAGACAAATGTTTCCCTAAACTGGAATTTAAAATTTAAATACATAAGTATAAGTATACACATGATTTGGTTTATCATACAGTTCAATCATTATTTCTGCATTTAAAGTGCGCACGAATAAAACATAAACGTACATACTGGCCTCATATGTACATACTACATATGTACATATACGCATGTATATTGCACTATAGTTAGGCATATTTGAAGCATATAAGAAAAGCAATTGAATGAATGCTTATGTGTTTCTGTGCGGAGCTCAAATACCAAAAGCAGAAGCCACCAACCGTTGCCCACGGGGATCGTTATGTGTGGATTTGGAAAAGTATCAAAATACTTAAAATTGTACAGATGAAACAAATCAGGACGGGCAAAATCACAATAAATCGCAGTGACCTGAAACAGATATATAGACATTATACAGGTGAATTTGAAAGTAGGTATTGATAACACACCTGCCCTGTCCCAGGGCTGGGTGTCAGAGATTCAGATCGATGTCAGCCTCCAGGTCGATGTGGTTCATTGAGTTGGCCGTGCTGTTGAATATTTGATTCTCGGCCGTTGTTCCGTTGCTCTCTCCATTGGGACCGCTGGCGCTGACGACACCGTTCCGCTTTGATTTACCTAGCAGCCAGCAAGAGAACACTTTGTCCAAATATTGCACGTTAATATTGTGATGATGGTTTGGACAGTGTGTCGAAATGAAACCGATATATAACGTATATATTATCGGGTATATAATAAATACAAACCAAGTACTCAAAACACAACATTTAGTTGGATTATACCGGGCCATTTCCTTTTCTTTTTTCTGGTTTACATACTTATCTCAATGGCAATAATTAAAGGAATGCTAAGAATTAGCAATTACCTCCGATTCTGGTCATCATGTTGCAGGCCGTTGCAAGCCAAGCCTCGCCTGCTAGTCTGGTGTATATATATATGCATGTGTGAGTGGTGGGTGATGATGACACTTACCTCCGGAAAAGCACAGACAGCCTTCGTCATCGCTTGGGAAATCACGGCGTGTGCTTTTTAGCTTTAGCTCCTTGTTCAGCTCATTGATGCAGCGCTGATAGTAATCGTAATCCTTCAGATACCAAACTGGTGGCCATCGATGCTCGCGTAAATACTCCTGATTATCCTGATGCAGTGCTTTCAAGCCCTTAAGTGAAAACTTACAGATAACGTTGTAATTGACGCACAGATACGACATACACCATTCGGCCAACTGATGGGCATTGTGCAACTGTAAGAATCGACAGAAATATTTAAATGATTTCAAACCACGCTGCACGGTGTATAAGAAATCACCTACCTTGACTGGCTCCAGCAACTTTAGGCAATGATCGACCGTTTCATTGGTTTCGTTTTGTGAAATAATTGTGAGATCTTCAATAACGCGACACTCAATCAGATTGATAAGGCGCGGCAGGCACAAACGGTTGGCCAATTCCAGCAAATTGAGGCATTTAACCGCTGAGATGGGCGGAATTTGATCAGTGTACAAATAGCACAGCAGCTTATGGAATGTATAAATAGTAACGCCAGGGAAAACAATCTGAAAAACAAAACCATAGTTGTATCATTTATATGTTTATCTGGTGTCAATTTAACAGACTTACCACATTAGAATGTGCCTCGCGAAAGTCGCCCAGGAGCATGGCGCGCATAACATCGCAGCGTCCCACTAAAACAGCCCGATGTGCCTGTAAATAATGAGTGAGTTAGAAAATGAATACAAAGAAAAAACTAATTATAAAAGATTAAATTTAAAGTTAAGAATATAAAATAATAAACGATTATTAGTAAAAATACATACATATACAAAACTGACCGACAGCCACAAAAGAACACAGTTTTTACATAATTAAATTACCTACTAAAATTCACAATCAATAAAATATAGTGGATACGTGTTCATCACCAACTTCAAGAATGGTTATAAATATACATATACATATACAAACATATCGCTCAAAGCTGTTAAATACTTATTGCACTTGTGCCACATGGCCGCAATATATGCACACCTTCATCAAACCGTCGTCCAGTTCAAAGGTAACATCGCTGAAGCAACCGTCTCCAATGCAATGCCTTTCCATGCTCTCCTTTATGCGCTGCAAATATAGATATGATGAGTAACAATGTGTTTAAAGAGCTATCTTATAGTAATAAGTAACTCACAAGACAAATGTGGGGATTAGGTTCATCACTGGGACTCTCGATGACGCTTTGTGGCTTGGAAAGTAACATGGTTAATTGCGGCAGTTCTAATAAATCGGCAGCATCTCTTATTTCCTGCAGAATACACAAATAAAATTAGCTCACGACAGCCAGAAGGCTTGGTTTAAATTACCTGCAGATTACTGCAATCCTTGTCAATAGCGCCTGTATAAATGAATCTTAGGCATTGGTGCAGGGCCTGAGGCGAGACAAGTTTGCTTAGAGTAACAATCGTTTGGATAGAGCTGACGCCGCGTTGATTCTCCATTTGCACTAGGCGTAGGCTCTGCAGCACTGGATGATGTAGCTCCTTATGTAAATCACCGGAGCGTTTTGACTCCACCAATGGTAAAGCTTGATAGCTGGAGCGTCGCTTTAAATGTTCCCACATGCTATTCAAAGAGAATTGTTGAAAGCGTAAGTTATATATCCGAAAATGCTGTTGATCTGATAACTTACCGTTGTGTGCGTGATTCGTAGCGTATGAGATATTCTGTGTCATCGTTGAAGTCAGCTATGGTCGCCTCACCAAACGTTGAGCTGACCATGCTCGACTCACTGCTGCTTCGGCCACCCATGTCTGTCAACTCAGTGTTGAGGATGCGTTGGAAAATGCCAGATGCCGCGGCAAGCATAAATCTGTGCACCGCAAACTTGGTTCCGCCGACCACCAAAACAAGGTCGGCATAGGCTTGCGAAAGAAACATATTGTAAATATCCTGGCGGTAATGGCCGACCATGACGGTAACCTCAGGTGGTGGTGGTTTGGGTGGTCGGAATGGTGCCTGCAACAACGGCTTTTGCACCTTTTTCAGGTTTGTCATCCAAAAGCGCTGCTGCCGGCGCGCAATAAGTGAAGATCGAATCGCATTTTCAAACACCTCGTTGACGCCAAAGTACGTGAAGACGCTGGTCTCATAATAGCTAACGCCCAGTTCCTTTGCAACGGCGCGCGCTTCATCCGGCATGACCAAATCGCTCTTTAAGGCCGCTCTGCGCATATAAAAAGAAAGCAACTTAGAATGCATTCATCCAACTTAACTAGTACATCAGTTCAACGTACCGTACAAAGGTTCCCTTTTCGCCAAAGTAGGACAAATAGTTCTCATCGCGGTACATATAACGCAGGTCATTTTTGCAGCCAACAAGCACGACAGGCACATCTGGACAGAAACGACGTATTTCAGGATACCACATTACTTTGCAATTGCGCAACGAGATCGGGCTCGCAATGGAGAAACACAAGAGTACTACATCAGATCTGGAATAAATGAATTATCCATAATTAATAAACCAACGTTTAGCCTGAGACGTTAACTCACCTGCCGTAGGCAAAGCGACGATCCTTGTCATGATCCCCGAAGGTGTCCCACAAACGCAAGGAGACATTGACCCCATCCACCACTTCCCAAGAGCGTTCAAGAACCTGCAATGTATTTAATGTTATCGGTGGGTTATTAGGGCACCGGATTTTTCTGTCGACAATGTGTCACTTGCGTCTTTGTAAATGCGATACTGATCGATCGCCCACACGGTCGGCACGTGCGTGGACAGCAGCTGCGATAGCGATACATGCTTGTTGCAAGCCCTGGCGCATATCAAGCGCGTCTTTCCCACGGCAGTGTCACCAACCAGCACGCACTTGACCAGCTCCTGATGTGGCTGCTCGTTGTCCATTTTCGGCATGCACCTTCAGTATGAGGAGGATTAGAACCAAGCGAAGTTAGACAAATAAATGAATTAGCGAAAGTGTTTTCCTGTTCCTTAAGTATCAGTTGTACACAAGTACTGGGAATGATATGCGTAGTCTGTCCAGACACTGAGTAATGAAAGTAAAAGTATGGAAAACGACAACAAGCCACAAGCAATCCCATTGCGTTGTTAAAAATACTGCGGGAAGCATTTTTAGAGTCTAATTGAGCTCAATTGAAACAGAAATAAAAATATCTTCAATCAAATTTCGAGCGAAAATCGCACATTTCTATACCCTGTAACAAGGCAAATCGAATCAAATCAAAAACCAAAACCTATTAACTCTGCATTCGATTTAAGAGTTTAAGTATTTTAAGCTAATTGTGACATAAAACATGTCTCAGGAGAAATCAGATTAGTAACATATTTACTATATATATCTGTGTAATATCTACTCTATAAAACTTTGTATCTGATTAAGAACTTTGATGGATCTTTCTCGTAGGTTTTACATATGTATATAGAGCAGACCAAAAAATTTGAATTACTTTTGAAATAAAGCGTAAATGCCATATGGCCTGTGGCTGCAAGGGTATTTGTTCTTCGGCACCGATAAAACCTGTTCTCTTTTGTTTTCTTTTATGTTGAACGTGCCGTTTTGCTCGTATACCGTTTAATTTTGGATGCACTCGAGACGCACAATAGCACGGGCCCAATGTACCATACTATATATGTATGTATTTATATACATACATACATACGTACATATATTTCTGTTAAGTATGGACCAGTCACAGCTTAAATGTTAAAAATTTTAAAAGTTACGTTTCTCACAAAATTGATTTTGGATATACTGTAAATTGAGCTTATTATTTAAAGATTGCGATTCGTTAAAATGAGAAAATGACTTTAAGCTTTGTAGTTGTTTGTTATTATGGTCTATATGTAAATTGTAATATACTTTCAAACTGTTTCTCTCAACAACTATATTTTAATA